GGCATGTGGGATCCTCCCGAAACGGGGCACGAACCCGCGTCTCCTGCATCGGCAGGCGGACTCTCAACCACTGCGCCACCAGGGAAGCCCCAAAATTTTAGGATCTTATGGAATGATTTTAACTAATATTCTGTGAGACGTTGTGCTAAGAAAACCACTGGAAATAGAATTTACAAACAAAAGAAAGTGATAAATGGTCTCTCACTGTCTCTTTCTATGGTTCGCAACATCCCTCTACGCATCAGAAGCACCTGGGGAGCCTTAACAATCCTAGTATCAAGGATGCACCTCAGGGACTTCCATGGTGGCACAGTGGTTAAGGATCCTCCTGCCAATGCGGAGGAAAAGGGTTCGATCCCTGATCTGGGAACTAGGATCCCGTGTGCCTCGCAGTGCGGCAAAAAAAAAAAAGTATCAATTAATTATAGTAAAAATACAACACTAATGTTAGATGTTAATAATAGGGGAAACGGTGCTAGGGCATACATGAACTCTGTACTATTTTCTCCATTATTTTGTAAATGTAAAACCCTTCTAAAAAATAAGGTCTGGACTTCCCTGGTGGCGCAGTGGTTGAGAGTCCACCTGCCGATGCAGGGGACACGGTTTCGTGCCCCGGTCCGGGAAGATCCCACATGCCGTGGAGCGGCTGGGCCCGTGAGCCATGGCCGCTGAGCCTGCGCGTCCGGAGCCTGTGCTCCTTAACAAGAGAGCCCGCGACAGTGAGAGGCCTGCGCACCGCAATGAAGAGTGGCCTCCGCTTGCCACAACTAGAGAAAGCCCTCGCACAGAAACGAAGACCCAACACAGCCAAAAATAAATTAAAAAAAAAAAATCCTAAAATTTGAAAAGAATTCCGTTAGCTTCTCCAACAGATGTTCCATAGAAACAATTTGTCAGAGGTTAGGTTCAATACTTTGAAGTTCTTCCAGGTAAGTATATCAAGTCTATTCCAGGACTATGCACTATTCATGGAGAGGAAAGAATGGTTAGCAAGTGAATAACTTGTATTTCTGTTCAGTGCCCCGTGGCACTGGTTGAGTCTACCTGGGGACAGTTGATCACAGGGGTCACCTCCCAGCCTGGCCTCACCTCCTTTGCATTATCCTCTGCTCTGAATAGCTGATATAGTCAGGTGTCTGATTGGCCACAACTAGAAAGCCCTCGCACAGAAACGAAGACCCAACACAGCCAAAAATAAATTAAAAAAAAAAAATCCTAAAATTTGAAAAGAATTCCGTTAGCTTCTCCAACAGATGTTCCATAGAAACAATTTGTCAGAGGTTAGGTTCAATACTTTGAAGTTCTTCCAGGTAAGTATATCAAGTCTATTCCAGGACTATGCACTATTCATGGAGAGGAAAGAATGGTTAGCAAGTGAATAACTTGTATTTCTGTTCAGTGCCCCGTGGCACTGGTTGAGTCTACCTGGGGACAGTTGATCACAGGGGTCACCTCCCAGCCTGGCCTCACCTCCTTTGCATTATCCTCTGCTCTGAATAGCTGATATAGTCAGGTGTCTGATTGAAGGCTTGGGCTCAACCCAATCATGAGCTGATCAGAACAAAGTATGTCAGAAGCTTTGGCTGCTCTAATTTACACCGGCCTCATTTGAAGGCTTTAAATTAGGAATCAAATAGTTATTACTCATAACTCATAGTCATTATTAATATTTCGTATTAGAAATATAACATTTAGGCCCTTGTAATTTCCCTACTTCCTTTCATTTTCCACAAAACTCTTTTGCCCCCTAATAAGATCAGTTTTTTAGAGCAATAGATATGACCCAGAGTCTAAATCTTCCTGCGCCATATTCAGGTGGCTCAGTTGGCAAGAACTCATCTGTGCTACACAGACACCCTGCCCCGGAACCTGGCTCCTTGGAGGATGGCGTAGCTGGGGCCCCCAGCCAACATTTGAGGTATGTTCTGTCTTCACCGCCTCCTCTGGGATCAAGTCCCACAGCCTGGCTTCTGAGTGTTGCCCACTGTCTGGACTCCTCAGTACTGGGTTTAAACTTGCAGATGTCCAGCGTCACACCTGGCCTTGTTTGCCCCATAGGCTCCAGCTTTATACAATCTTGTTGTCATCACCATTTCCCATTTTCAGCTGAGTCAGTTACTTTCGGCGCCCTGACCCCTTGCTCTAGGAAACTATTGTTACTGAGTCCAAGCTCATACTACTCGCTGAGTGACAGGCCAGTAAATCAAGGTGTTAGGGCAAGGAATAGCGACTTTATTCGGAAAGCCAGCAGACAGAGAAGGTGGCAGGCTAGTGTCCTAAAGAATCTTACCCAAGTTAGAATTCAGGCTTCTTTTATATTAAAAGGGGAGGGAGTATAGCTGATAGCTGCAAACTTCTTGGGGTCGGCTAGACCCCAGAGCGGATGTGATAGTCCTTTGTTCTAGCAGTTGTCCAGGTAGGTCCAACAATAAACCTCCAACATGACAAATGTTATTCTCTGTTCTGCAACTTTTTATCTTTGTGTGAATGAAAAATGTCATACCTTTGAAGGTCAAACCTGGGAGACAGAGCCTTGAGAATGGGCTATCCCATTTATTTCAGGCTCTAGGCAACCTTCTTTTACAAAGGTGCAGAGCCAGCATGACTAAGCACAGGCAGCAGAGCACAAGCTCTCAACCATTTTGATGATTTTTTTTTGCATTTTCTTGTAACATCTGTGCTATTATTTGCTTAATATTTTTCCTTACATGACCTTGCCTTAAAACAAAAACATTGTTTTGCTTTGTCTAGGCAAAAATATCCTGAAATCATAGGTTTGATGTGTTATTTATATCTTTCCCTATCACATCCATAAATCCATAACTATTATCCATAGTTATCCATAACTATTAACATAAAACATTTGTGGACCGTCTAGAATCACCCTGTAACCCAGAGCACACTTGTACCACACTTTGGGAAATGCTTACCTCAGGGCTTTGCCTCGAGTCTGCTTACTCCCATCCCTGCCCTTTCTACCCGCACTGCGTGGATCCTTTGCATCCAGTGTTAGGACGTAAATACTTAGAAGTAATAAAACTCTCTACTTCGTGGCAAGTACAATACTTGCTAAGTACGAATGGGATTTCATTGATAAATAACTTATCAAAGCTAATGTAATGTGGTGCTTAAAAGCAGGGTCTCTGGAGATGAATTCAAATTCCAGCTCTGCCACTTACTGAGAAAATCATTTGGCCTCTCTCAGGTAGCTCAGAGGACTGTTATGAAGATTAAATAAATTAATACATGTTCAGGGCTTAGAACAGTGTCTGGCTCACGTAAGTGCTATATAAATGTTAGGTACGATTAGAAGCTGTGAGTTTTGGCAGTGGAAATCTAGAGAAAAAAGTAGTCCATGAGTGTACTACGCGTCCTTTCCTTTGAGAAAAAGTTGGCTAGGGAATAGGCGTGTGCTGATATTTATTTAATCTTGTGGCCAGTACGGCATGTATTTATTGCATCAGTGTATGAGGGCTTTCTGAATCAGGTGAGCAGTGTGTAAGGCTCAAAGATTTAAAATGGCATCTGATTTACTGCAATTTAGTTGTGCAAATTGGGTATTCTATGCAAATTTGAGGATAATCCTTCCCCCACTCTATTCTCAAAAATTTATTTATGTAGTTTGTTTTTATTTGAAAACTGAATATTTTCACTAAGCACTGGGAGCTGTGCAAAAGCGCACGTGTGTGTGTGTGTGTGTGTGTGTGCACGTATGTGCACTGTTTCGGAGAGGATTTCCGTTATCAGCATAGCAAATAGTTTTTTCTAAAAGTACAAAACTTAAATAAACTAATATGTTTAATCTATTATAACAGCTGTTTCTCAGGTTATAATATGAACATCTTTTTCCTATTTTTGTTTTGAAATAACTCAAGCATCAGCTACATTATTTTTAAATGTTTTCATTATGTTTAATTGAATAACATTATCAATTACATTTATGAGGAGTAACAAAGGAACAGTAAAGCTAAATTTGAATAAAACATCTCTATTCTAATTTTGAAACCTAACTGGAAAAAATGTATATTATAGTACAATAAAAATGCACCAAATACATATCATCAGTGTTAGGCTGTCTCTGTTAGGAAAACATTCATCAATGTTAAGAAATGGTATTCAGCTGATACTGGAAAACAAAATTCTCTTAAAAACAACTGCACTTTATCATTACAACATGGTAGATTTCTTAAAAAGTTATAAATATATACTTTGCAGGTAAAATGATCAAAATTACTTCCTGAAGTTATTTTAACAGGTCGTAAATGCTAAATAAAATCTTAGGAAATGACTCAGGAGACAAGATTGTAAAGATTTCTTCCCGAGGCTATTTTGACAACCCCTAAGGGCCGAAGAGAGATTTGTGAAATCCCTTAATATGATCCAGTGGGGAAAGGCTTGGGGTGAGAGCCAGGATTCTTGACTTCTACTCCAGCTAACAAACTAAATGGACTTACTTAGCTCATTAACTTTCACGCTCATTTGTTCATTTGGAACAGTCTCATTGCAGACCTAATTCTATGTGCTGTAGTGGGTTTGAAAATGCCATGCAGGGACTTCCCTGGCGGTCCAGTGGTTAGGACTCTGCGCTTCCACTGCAGGGGGCCCGGGTTCGATCCCTGGTCTGGGAACTAAGGTCCCACAAGCCGAGTGGCATGGCAAAAAAATAAAAAAGTAAGTAAAATACTGTGCAAGATTTCCCTAGATTATCTAAACATTTCCAACCTATAATTTACTCCACTGATAATTGGTTTTACTATTATCTATATACATATATAATATATATATTTCTTTGCATGCTAAATGAATCTCCCAACTTAGGAGAGAGTTGCCATGTCATGTTCTACCACCTGCATGGAGACCAATATTATGCTGTGCCCCAGGGCTGTTGTTCAAAAGTCCTCATGGTCATAGCTAAAGAACGGACTGATTCTCTCTGAATAACCAATTGTAGACCCCGGTCCAGATGGACACACATCCCATGTCTCTGCTCCATCTGTCCAGGAGGGTGCTGTGTCTTGAGGAAAAGACAAAGTGCGTCTGATGGCCCGGCAATCTCCAGGAATTTTCAAAGGAAGTGATGCTGTTGGAGAGGCTGCCATGGCGACTGTAGCTGGAAGGTCCAAGTCTTCCAGGTAGATGGACATTTGGGTGTTTTCAGAATCATAGTTACAGCCAGAAAGGCTCGTAACTTCCCGCACATTGTCACAGCATTTCAGAGCAGGGGGCTGGTAGGCCTGGTAGGACACTTTGGTGGTGGTGGTGATTACTGTCTGCAGGGCTGGAGCAGCTGGTGGGGCCGTCGTGAGGTACCTGCAGGGAAGCTCTGGGTTGTAATAAGGGCGAGCGGCTGCAGCCTGGAACTGTCCATGGTCAGTGCTCTCCCCAAGGTCAGCTTTTCCAAGAGCTGGTTTCCAGCCAGACTGTTTACTGGTGAAATCAAAGCTTCTCTCAAAGCTGCCATAGGAGTTGATATTGTATTGCAGTGCATTCAGATGAACCCAGTCCGTGTCATCAGGAATACTGCTGGCGTCTTTATAAAGGGTGGGATAATACGGGCCTGAATTTGTGTAACCAGGGCCTGCCAATTCATAGCTGCAGGGTGGCCTAGGCAAAAAGATTCTTGGGTTTGAATATTTCTGAAAGGGTGGTACTATATCTCCTTGAAAGGCAGCTAGGTCACAGGTAGCTTTGTAAGCATCCGAGTTTGGAAAGGAAAAGCAAGGCTGCCCTGGAACAGGGAAGCCAGTGTCAGGAATTATATCAAACTCGTTCTCCAGGGAAGGTATGTTGCTGAAATGACCACCGTTATCTTGATTCTCTCCTGCCTAAAGAAATGACACAAATTTGTATTTGTAAATAAAGATGTAAATTGTGTGGATACCCTCACCCATAACAATCGTCAACCAACCAAATAACAAGCTTTCAGTTGGTGGGCGGTGTGTTAGGAGCTCAGAAACATGATCTGAGCGCATGGTCCAGGAATTTCACAGCTTGAGCTCACGCTTGGATTCCACACTGCTGAATTAGGAGGGCCCATGGTAGCCAGGCAGGGTGGGTCTGAGTGGCAGATGGTCTGATCTCCCTATACTATGTGCATAACAGCAGAGGCTCAGGAGCCTGACGCAGACCTGGGTTCAATTCAAATCCTGACTGTCCCTCATGCATTGAACAAGTTACTTAACCTCTCTGAGCCTCAGATTCCTCACTTAAAAATGGGGCTTAAAGAGGGAGGAGATATGGGGCTATATGCATACTAACACACCATTGTAAAGCAATTATACTCCCATAAAGGTGTTAAAAAATGGGGCTTAATAAACAGTAACTTATTCTTAAGGCTTTTGGGACCCATTCACGTGTAAGACTTAAACCCTATGTGCCTGGCACATAGAAAGTGCTCAGACAAGGCCAGTGTCTCTTATCCTCAAACTAATATTCTGCCTCCTTGGCATACTTTGGTTGAACAGCCAAACTGGATCAAGTTGCCCAAAGAAATTTTATCTGTTCTATGTAAATAATGAAAAGGACCCTCTCGAAGATGCACCGTTCAGTCATTGGTATGCACCTATTTCTTTCTGTATGACCATTCGATAATTGCCCTTGTATTAGGATGTCAGCTCACATGCTCACTCTATCATTAACTGTAGAGATATTCTGCTTTTTTATCAAGAAGAAGAAGGAATTAGAAACCCTATTCAAAATGTTGATTCAGTGACATTGTTAGAGGCATATAATTTTCACATAAAATCAAACCTTTTAAATTAAGGTATGACATTCATATTTTACATAATTCTCAGTGCATTTTGTGATGACGGTGAACACAGACCACAAGTGTAATGTCAGCTCCCTATTACCTCGGGTTCTCGAATTCTCTTTTTCTGGGGTTGGTAAAAAGAAGCCATTTGTCTCTTGATACCACTTCTTCTAGCTTCTGTCTCTGATTTACTCTCTGGTCTTGGGTGATCATGAACTCCCTTGGCCTGCATTAATAAGGAGATGAATCACATTATTCCTCTGAGGGGAGCTGGCAACACTGGTCAAAAATTGAGTGTGCCTTTCCCAGTACCCCAAGTTGTTTGTTTTTTCCAAGAGACAGGGAAAAAAATTCTTTTTTTTTTTTTTGCGGTACGCGGGCCTCTCACTGTGCGGCCTCTCCCGATGCGGAGCACAGGCTCCGGACACGCAGGCTCAGCGGCCATGGCTCACGGGCCCAGCTGCTCCGCGGCATGTGGGATCTTCCCCGACCTGGGCACGAACCCGCGTCCCCTGCATCGGCAGGCGGACTCTCAGCCACTGCACCACCAGGGAAGCCCAGAAAAAAAATCTTGAACAAATAAAACTGCACCAATAATAGACATCTTAAAAGCTGACCTAACAGTCCTTTTGCCATATGAAAATAACTATAAGTAGCTTCACCCTCTCCCCCTTAGAGAGCACACAGTAGCTGAACTAATTCCTAGGAGCCTGGTAAGGCCCTGGGAGCCCCAGCACCTATTTCTGGCCACCAGAGCTGTATCTGGTTTGGTATCCTGAGATACACGGCAGGTGGTTTGGTCCCTGTGACATGATGAGAATGTCCATCACAAACTGTGGTGTCCCCCGACCTACCTGAAAAAATATTGCGTTGCCATCAAGCCGCCAAAAGTTGGTTACAGGGTACCCGCTGTGCCCTCGACAGGGGATCAATTCCAAAGCAGCATGACAGTTCGGGCATGCCTTCTCTGCAAAGCCAGAGGAGAGAAATATTAATAACAACCTGACCCCAGACCCTCCGGAAGGAAGGAAGGGGAAATTCCCTGGGAGTAGGGAACTCACGACCGCAAGGCCACCCCATTCCCAGTCCCATAGCTCACTCTGCTGCTTCAGCCTGGCTTTGTCGCAGATGGCGGGCCGCAGCTGCAGACGGGAGCCGTCGGGCAGGGCGCAGTCCCGCGCACACACCACCACGCCCAGGCACGACTTCTTGAGGATGTGGCCGTTGTGGTTGTTGGTGTTCCGCATGGCCCAGCCGCTCAGATGGCGTTGCGCCTTCTTCTCGCCGCTGCGATAGATGAAGCGCACGTAGCCATCCGGCCACTCGCAGAAGCGGTCGAAGTGGTCTGGCTCCTGGGAAGGCGCCCAGAAGGACGGGTAGTCAAGTTCATCAAGCCCAAACCAGAGACAGCACGGCTTTAATCTTCCCCAAGCACATTAGGATAAAACTGGGTCTTTTTAATTCCAGAAGCTGTGCTCTTACAAAATGTCACTCATCCTGGGTATGCCCTTCTGACAACTGGCTATAAATTGATGCTTACACAGTGCTCATATTCTAAAAGCTGTACATGTATTCGTTCATCTAGCCTTCATACTGCATACAGACAATAGGTACTATTATTATCCCCATTTAATAGAATAGTAAATGGAGACCAGAGAGCTTCATTGACTTGCCCAAGGTCACACAGCTAGTAAGACTTGGCTCTAGGATTTGAGCCGTCACAGTTTGACTCCAGAGCCTATTCTCCTTACCACTAAGTTATACCACTTCTCAGTGTATTGAAATGTTACAGATATTTTCTCGTTAGTCAGTAAAGCACCAGGGCAAAAAGTGATTGGAAAGTTCTATCACTGACATACAGTTGAGCCTGTAAATATCTTTACTTCCATCCAGTGCTTTTTCTTCAAAAGCTCTTGGCTTGATACCCAGCACAACATCAGAGAGACATGAACAGTTTCCCAAATTAGCCCTCCAGGTTTACAAGGGTGTTACGATGACAGCCTAACCATAACGTAAACCCGAGCATTTGGTGGAGCCTGCTAAGCTAACCTCTTCCCAGAGCAATATGGATTGTCATTCTACTACACAAAGAACTGCATGGCTAAAATAATGTTATATATAAAATACTGAGCACTGCTTTACTATTCATGTTTGGTGGTCCTTTGTGCATATTATGCATTATTTATACTGCAGTATGGTTCTTGTACAAACTAGGGACCATGGGCTGAATCCAGCCTGCCACTTGTTTTAGTACAGCCCACAAACTAAGAATGATTTTTATATTTTTTAATGGTTGGGGGGAAAATCAAAAGAACTACATTTTGTGACACACGAAAATTGTATGAAATTCAAACTTCGGTATCCATAAATAAAGTTGTAATGGGACATGGCCATGTACATTTGTCTATGTATGGTCTGTGGCTGTTTTCTCAGTACAGTGCAGAGTTGAGTATTTGGGACAGAGACAGTATGGCCCATAAAGCCACATTATGCAGTATCTACAATCCTCACAACAACTTTGCCTCATAGGCATCCTTCCTCTTATTTAATAGATAAGGAAGTGGAAATTAGATGGGTAAACTTCTCCAGTGGCATAGCTGGGGTTTAAAAAGATCTGTTGCAGCCATGCCCCACTGACCTTCCTGGTATGATAGAGGCTCAGAAAACTATTATTACAGTAATAAGCCATTTACACCTTCTCTCCCTTCCCCCAGCCCAGGATAATTAGATCCAACATCTGCAAAGCAAAAGTATTCTTAGTTGGACAGTTCAGACTTGTGTACCACGTTAGTATTGTACATTCTAACAGTAATAGGTAAATGGGCAGTTTTGTTTCCAAAACCGCAGAGATATTGTTGAAATCATTATTATTACTAATAGGCATTATTTATCTTTTCTCAGAAATATAATTGACATAAGTCAATACATTAACTTAAGGTACATCACAAATGAAATATATAATGATGTGCTAGCAACTCTAAGTTTATGCTAAATGCTCTATCTTTGTGTTTAAAGTGAATATTTCAATTGAAGGACCTTAGTAACAAATAGACAGTTTTCCAGAAGAGAATATTTTGTTCACACTCCCCTGCAAGGGTACAGACTAGACCCCCACTACCAAAGTAGTGACACTGAAAATGAAGACACAGAGACTGCATTTTAAAATCAAAACAAGAATGGAGGACTCCTAGATTGGGTTTCATTTGCTCTAATGTCTTGGTGCAGGGGAGCACGTGTGGTCACACACAGACAAGCGTGCACACACCGAACATGACAGTAGATCTGGACGACAATTTAAGATTGTTATCTAATTCCACGGCTTGATGACAGGTGAGTAACCTGAGGCTAAGGCAAATTCAGGAACTGTCTCAAGGTCATGCAGGTAGTTTTGCTCTTCCTCCTTTGGTTTGTCAGAGCAGGGCTAGGATCCTCTTTCTCCAGTTCTCTTTCTATAGCCCAGTGCACCTGCCTCTTTTGAGATGTCACACACACACACACACACACACACACACACACACACACACACACTTTCTCTCTGTTTAAGAACCAATCTCCCAGAGAAAAAATAATTCACATTTACATGGGAAGTCCAGAATAATACTCATGAGAGGAACCATCCTTCCCTTATTTGGATGTGGCTCATTTCTAAAATGCAAGATTAGATTTTTTTTTTTCTATGAAGATGTATGCGGACAGAAGTCAGTGAGAATGAGATGCCCTTGCTGTACTGTGGTCCACTTTCACAAAAATGGCACAGTGTGACTCTAAAGTAGGCAGACTTGAAAATAAACAAACTTACTGCAAATATGTACATCCCAATAGTAGTGATCTCTTTGAGAGGCTAGACAACCTTGCTAATGAATTGTTATACGCGGCACATAGTAGATGCTGAATAAAGGCCAAGTCTCTTACCCCTATACCACAGCATTGCCAGGAATCCGCCTTTGCGAATGCTTCCCAGGTCGCTCCTAACTCTCCCTCCACCTACACCCAGGACTTTAAAGTCACTTTTCAGTTCTTGTCCCAAACCAGTATGACCAATTATAAGTGCGCAGCTCATTCCCTGTACTAGGCTCCAAACCCCTTCGTTCCGTCAAAACAAAACAAAATAAAACAAATTCACCCTAAACGGATGATGGTGATTTCCTTGTCATTAGAGAAGTAATCTCAGAAATTGCGTCCAAAAGCCGGATTCCAGGGGCTCTCCGGGCGCCTGTGCCCTGGTTGGCATGACTATAGAGGCCCCCCCAGGAGCCGCGCGTCATCCAGGCAGCTGGGGCAGGTGTCTAATGGCCCAAGTCCTGCTGTTTAATAAGAGTCGGGTCACCGCGATTTACGGTCCTATCTCACAGTTTTGCTGCGTGAGAAGCCCTGATGTCTATCTACGTTAGCCAAGATTCTCCCCTACCTTTCTCGTGGATGGCAAAGAATGGATAAGGAGAGGCTGCGGATTTACACCTAGGTTAAAAGAAAGTGAAGGACGAGGTGTCCGGCTCCCGCCAGATGACCTGGAACTTGGAGCCTGATTGACAGTTCCTGTTGCTTTCGGCGTGTTTTCTAACAAGCGCGAGGTAAGAGCTGGGAGAAGACACATCTCTGAACCCAGCTCTGCCATTTGTGGAGTCCCTGTACACTGGAGGACTCTCAGGGGTGTGTGTTTGGGGGTGGAGGTGAGGTCTGTCCACAGTCTCTGCAAGGACATCCCTCCTCTTTGGATGGACAGCGCCGCGCGCGCGGGGGTTTCACGCACCCGAGGCATCTGCGGGTCGTTGATGTCCCAGCTGAGCTTCGTCCCGTGGGAACACGCACCGTCCGCCTGCTGCCCCGCCTCCGCCGGCATCTGGCCCTCCTCGCTGGCGCTCTCCGCCTAGGATCCTGAAAGACAGAAGAAAAACCAACCAACCCAGAGGTGCCCAAGGTGATTCTCCCCCTGTCTTAGACGAAAGTGGAGAGAGACAGAGACAGAGAGACTGATTTTGAAATCCAGAAGCGGCGGACAAGGGTTAAGGACGCGGGCGGAGCCATGTCCTTGGCCGCGGTGCTGAAAGGTCTCCCGTCGGAGCGCAGCGCGGGCGCCAGGCAGCTGCTCGCACGTTTATACGGTTACACTCCGTCCCTCCCCGTCCCGCCCCGCTCCGCCTTTCCTCGCTCGCCCGCCACCTCCCACGCTCCGGACACTAGCAGGGCCTGTCATCCCCTACCGGGCAGAGCTGGGGATGGAGAGGGAGGTTGACCTGAGCCCTTGGGGTGACGGGAGACTGAAGCCAAGGCGGGCCAGGGCGGGGGGAAGTTGGAGTGTCTCATGTAAGTTGAAAATCAGTTTTGTTTCCCTAACCGCGCCCCGCCTCTGGGGTTTCGGATTGGATCTAGAGGGAGGCTTTTCAGACAGAGCCTTTCCAGCAAAGTCCCGAAAGACAATACTCCATTCCCTGGCAGCCCGGGCACCGCCTGTAAGAGCCTCGGCTGCCGCGCGCCCTAGCCTGGGTAGATGTGCGCAAGGCAGCTGGCTTTGGGCCGGCCCTTTTCGGAGATTTTGTTGCAGCTGGTGCGCGTGGTCTGGAATCTGTGCTCATCCTCGAGGGGAGAGGGGGGGAGGAGGGACGTCCGAGGGAGTGCCGAAGGTCCCCGTGTGGTCGTCGGCTCAGGAGGCCGCCTGCTCCCGGGGTCTGCGGAGAGAACTGGCCCCGTGGGAAGAGAGTCCTGGAAAGCGAACCCGGAGAAGGTGGGGGAGATGAGCTAGGGGGAGGCGGAGGGGGAGGAAGGGGCTGAGTTCTGCCCCCAAACCTGTAGTTCTCTCTGCCGCCTCGGCTACTTCTGAGCCTGTTTCCTTATCTGTTTGAAAGAGGATTTGGGGCTCAGTGAGTTCTCAATCGCCATCCACCAGAAACGACCCTTAAAAAAAATAGTCTTCATCGGTATTGTCGTGAAAATACCACGACAAAATTCTATTTACACCCCTTCCGTCTGCGGAGGCTTTCGGGAGACTGGAGGGACCAGGTGAGGGCGTCGGGCGCCGTGGGCTCCCCGGGGCGGAGCCCAGGTCTTCTTCACCTGTGCCTCCGTTTCATTAGGGTGATTGGAAGCGCCCAATGCAAGAAACCGATTGAAGTGACTTAAGTCGCTCTTTAGCCGCTCCGGGCAGCAAGGGAAGGTGGGTTTCCGGAGTTTATTCCTTGCGCCCTTGTTCTGCGGGCTACACGCTCCAGTTCCCAGCCGTAGCCAGGGAGAAGCCGGCCTCTAAAGGCGGATCGTTGTTAGAGGAGGATGCTCGCAACCGACATCCCGGCAAATCCCGAGACCTGCGGGCCCTGGACTCAGCACCGCCGAGCGCGCACCAGGGGCGCGGACTGATGCTTCTTGGGAGCCGGCGGGGAGGGCGCCCAGGCCAGCGCCCGTCGCAGGATTACAGCCTCTTCTGGCGAAAGGCGGGAAAAGCAGATGCGCCCTTACAACCCCAGGAAGCGAACCTCGTCCACGCTCCGGTCCTCTTAACCTGCCTGGTCGGGGGCACAGTCAGGCTTGTTAGAAAAGTCAACCCGATAGTGAAGTTCGACTCCGAGCCGCCGACCGGCAGAGAACTCCCGAGACGGGAAAGGCCAGTTTTGGGTAATTACACGAATTTTCTTCTTTCTCTGGTTTCAAGCTGGGATTTCTCCCCACCCTCCCCCCACCCCCAAGCAGCGGCGCCAAGTTCTCAAAGAAGAAAGTGACTAGTTCACCCCCCAGCCTCTTCCCCCCGCCTCGTCCCCAAAGTTCTCTTTGGTCGTGTCGGTCAGCGTTTCTGGTTAAAATCACTCTCACAGAGTTGCCGCCGAGGTCTGGGAGGAAAGGAGGAAACGCGTTCACTCTTCACCTACTAGTTGCGTCCACAAACTTTCATCATATTAACCGCCTACCGAAGGCCCGGCAGCCCCTGTTATTCAGTGGCTTTTTTGCGTTGTTTTGTTTTTCAAAGGGTAAAATTACTGACACTTCTCTATTTATTTATTTACAAATGGACGTTTCTTTGTGAAGTTTAAGATAATGTACTCTTTAAAATGTTCTTTACATAACTTCAAAAACTAACTTAAAATTACTTCTGAGAATTCATAGAAACTAATTTCTGGTCTTATTGTAACCATTGTTAAGACTATTTCTTGTCTCTGTAACTTTGGAATATTTCTAGAGAGTCCTTACCCTTCAAAAATATAAATAAGTACAATTTTTAAAAAGTTAAAGCTAAATCAATTAATCAAATACATTTTTTCCTAAATAGATTCCGGTGGCCAAAGAAAAGTCATTGTCTCCACCATATTTAGTTTGAGCAGAATTAGAATACATATTCCAAGTTGCCCTAAAATTATGTCTGGGTAAAACATGTTAGTAAAAGAAGCTAATCAAAGTGAAAATATAACAAAATAAGATAAATAAATGGTGTTGTCTGTGGTGTTATCTTTAATTTTTCCTGAATTTTTGACTGTCTTAACAACCATATAGTTTGAAAGGATGTATGTTTTCCCCAAAGTCTGAAAATAATTGATTAAAACTTTTAAACTAATATTAAGAAAACTTTAATTTTGTTTTATATTATATTCTTATTGTATTGCCTGCTTTATTCTCTAAAATAGTGTGCTTTTAAACTGTATTTTGATTATTATTTGTTATTATCCTTCAATTTTTCCTGCATTAATATTTGCATTGATTCAGAACACTATATTCACAGCTGGCTCTTCCTTGGCTAGTATTTTGAAAGAGTAAAAGTCCATTAATACAAAAGCAAAGGAAAAGGGCTTTGAATTTACTTGGTTTAGATTAAAATAGGTAAATTAATGTAAGTATATTTACGTCATATTTGCCAGGAAATGGATATGATGAGTTTTGAAATAAGTATGTATTGTTTTGAATGGACTGGAGGTACAATGCAGAGATTCTGGTTATATTATATTTTGGTTTGATGTAAACAAATATCTTCTGTAAACGTCATGACACGAAATACCCATAGCATCTACTTATAACACAAGTTGATTTTTTACAAGGAATGTTTGGATTTGAGGGGTCTTGTCTGCTTGCTTGCTTTTTAAAAGAAAACTCCAGTCCAACTTATTTTTGCCACGCTGTTCACATAACAGACAACCTATCAGCCTAAACCGGGCCATAAGTACACATTCTTGTTGGGTTAAAGGAAGTGGGCAGAAAACAAGCAGACTGGATGAAAATGTTTGTTTTTATTTTATTTTGACTGAGCACATCGGGGTATGTATTAAAACAAAACAAAACACTTCTTTTGTGATATTAGGAATAAACTAACAATTTCGGGGACAAATCTGGTTCCTATGGGGAAAGTTCGATTTCAGTCTATAGCAGTAGCAATGGATCACAATCAGCTCTACCAGCCGTTAAAGGTGGAGAGAAAACAGCCGGCTTCCGCACAGGGGACCCCTATCAGTGTAGAATTTCTCCGACATGTTTACATCCTTTAAGTAATCGCTTTTCCTAAGGTGTGTGCGTGCGCCCAGGTGGCCTGACCTTGATTGCTAGTTAACTCGCGAGCGTTTCTCGCTTCTCAAACACGGGACTCCAGTAGATTTTCAGGGGCGGGTTTATTAATTAGAGTTCCGGGGAAGCTTGGCGTCCGGGAGCCGTGGGCTCCCAGTGCTCTCGCCGCAGCCCATCCCCGCCCGCTCGGGCCTCGGACGGCGGAAGCGCGGGGGCTGAGAGCTGCGCAGCGGCGGGGCGCGCCCTGGTCCGGGTGTGCGTCCTGGGGCGGGTGCGCGGCGGCCTGTCGGGAGCCTCGGGATGCGGGAGGTGAGTGACCTCGAGCGGAGCCGGGCACCCGTCGAGCCCCGGCCTCCTCTCCGCCGTTCTAGGCGGGCGCCAGGGAGCGCGTCCGTCGGCCTCTGGGCTCGGAGCCTCGCTTGCTCGCCCAGAGACCCGGCGCCGGCTACAATCCCCGGCCGCGGCCGTGGGAAGAGCTCTTCGGGGGCCCTTGGGGCGCCCACGTCCTTAGGTTTACTTGGAGTTTATTGGCAGCTTTCTGTGAGTACATGAAGCAGGGTAGAAACATCTGGTCCCTCGCTAGTAAAACGTTCGGAGAAGGGGGAACTGGAATATTGATGTTTGAAGGCAACGAGATGATTCTTTTTAAGTTGCTTGGGATGTTTTCCCAGCCCCTTTTCTCCCTCGCTGAGTAGAAAGTGCAATGACGTAAACCCACTCGGGGCCCCAGATCTACCCCAAGTGCTGGGACCCGCCGCCCAGGGATTGGGGTCGCGGGCTGGGAGGTGGATTGGTACCGTTAGTGATCCTACTTTTCAGCATTCACTTTACTGAATACACTGCTGGTGGGAAAAAAAAACAAGTCTGGATTTTGGTCTTTGAATTCATCCTGTTTTTCATATTTATAATAATGATGATATTATTGTAAAATATGCTGACATTTAAGGATTGTGGTCAAGTACATATAGGACCGTTAGCCCAAGCTAGATTTTTTTTTTTTAAACCTCTTTGGAAGAGGTTAATAAAATTTTTTAAAATTATTCTTTGATTGTTGGGATGAAGTGAGCAGATGAGATGCTGTTATTTAGCATGTTTGTGAAAACGAGGTTGGTAGATCCAGGGATTACTTCTTGAAGAAAACGTGTAACAACCCATTACTCAATGTTTTGTAAATTTTCTTGTTGTTGCTGTTCAGTCCTTGAAGTTTCAGGTTTAAGTCCTAGAGTCACTTTTTTTTTTTTTTTTCCGGTACGCAGACCTCTCATTGTTGTGGCCTCTTCCGTTGCGGAGCACAGGCTCCGGACGCGCAGGCTCAGCGGCCATGGCTCACGGGCCCAGCCGCTCCGCCGCATGTGGGATCTTCCCGGACCAGGGCACGAACCCGTGTTCCCTGCATCGGCAGGTGGACTCTCAACCACTGCGCCACCAGGGGAAGCCCTGAGTCACATTTAAAATTCATATAAGTCAGGAACATAAAGCCTAAACTCATGACTGGGCTTGAAACGCACTCTGAAAAACTTTATTTTACAGGCTCTCATTCTAAAAACTGCTCATTAATTCAAAGTCTTTTTTATAGTTGCCATTATAGAGTTTAAATTTATTTTTTGTGATCATTTATTACAGTGATGTTTGCTTCTTGTAATAGTTTGTATTTGTCAGAGGCAGTGTTAAAGAAGGTTGGATAAAGCTTTTGGTGTTTTTTTAAAGTAGTGTCTTAGATCTACAATCAGTGGCATGAATGAACAAAAAGCTTTGTTCAGGAAAACAATACGAACCTGTATTTTAAAACTTAATGCATTTCTTTGAAATAAAATTTTTAAAAATCTCTTTTTGTACACAGGAGAAGGAAGTTCCTTTGCAGTCTGTTCAGGAAAAGGATGGGAGCGGCATGGCACAGGATGCTTTCTATGTAAAGATCAAGTTTGTGTTCTTTGTGTGCTCTCTCTAGTTCTGTTTCCTGGGCTGTCAGCATACTTTTTCCTCCAGTTGCTCAACAAGAGGCAGAAGAATCCTCTTCTCCTACTTCCCTAATCTCTCACATCCAGTTTATCACCACGTCTTGTCAATTTTGCCTTTGATTACCCTACTAATATCCTAATCTATTTTGTACCTAGCACTGTTCTAGGTGGAGGTAGACAGTATTGAACAAAACAGACACAATTCTTTCTTTCATAGAGCTTTCAACCTGGCAGCGAGTCAGAGACAGATTAGAAACAAAAGTAAGGTAGTAGGAAGAAAAGGAACGGGGTGTTGTGATGGAGAATAATTGCTGGGGGAGGGAGGCACTTGACTAACTTTAGGTCCTGGAAGACCTACTTGAAAAGATGATACTGAAGCTGAGATCTGAGGGGTGACAAGGAGCCAGAATGGTAAGTGGTGGGGAGAAGCAGTCGAGGCATAGAACAGCCAGTGCAAAGGCCCTGAGGCAACGAAGAGCTTGACTTATTCTAGGACTCAGCAGGGCAGGCAGGCAGGAGAAGCTGACAGAGATCAAATCGTGCAGAGCCTTGCAGACCAAGGCCAAAGGTTTGGATTTGTTCTGAGTATAGAGAAGCCAGGCAGAGTTTTAAGTAGGAAGAAGCCTGAACTGCTGAGTCAGAGAATCTGAGTGTGAATCTCAGCTGGGTGATCTCATACAGCCTATTATTATCCCCAGATAAAGAGTCTAACCGCTAGATTGGTGGTGAGGATTAAATAACATCTGCAGAACACTTAACCCACTTGGCTCAAAAAAGCTTACTATATGGTAACTTAAATCTGTTTAAATGTTTAATTTCAAATGCTGTCTTATTATTTAAATCAATACTAAGAAAAAGTGGAATTTCAGGCTGTATGTAGTAAAATGACTCCTTATTAAAAGAATATTGTAATTTAGCCTGTAGAATTGGACTGCATTTTAAAAATATCTTTTGTAGCACAGATATTTAAGAATGTATCCGTTATTCAAATATATATATACACATACACACTTAGAAATAGGTTTTAACAAGCTTTCAGGCAGGAAAGTTCAATTTCATTCATCATGGCAATTTGGATATTTATCAATTGCCTTTAACTTTAATTATTACTGTTGAATTCATTTTCTTCTATTATGATCATTTATGTAACTTAATGAGTGATGATAGGCTTGAATTTTATAGTGTTTAGAGTAGCTCACATTACTGAGGATAAAGTCTTGAACCACAGATACCTGTAATTCAGGTGTAGTTTTCCTTAAGTCAGCGGTTCTCGAAGTTTAGCATGATGAGAATCACCTGATGGGCCCTGCTCCCAGAGTTTGACTCCTAACAAGTCCCCAGGTGATGCCCATGCTGCTGGTGGTCCAGGAACCACATTTTGCCAACTACTGTCTTAAGACAACAAAATCATTGTCTGCATGATTACTGTTCAAGATATAACTCTCTATATTTACCTTCTATTTCTGCACTGAATTATTATTGATAACGACAGAAATATTACTGTGAAATAAATGTTCTTGGGGAAATATAGTAATTTTCATACTATCAACTTTCCAGCTTCAGTCACTTATTACTAATACATTCCATGATGAAGGATTTCAGAAAATAAAAGAATATTTTCGACAGAGAGAGCGCCACGTTCCTCAAAAATATAATAATCTTTTGTTACACCATCTTGACAGATCAATAAATAAGGCAAGTGAGTTGTTATTTTGGTTTGTAACCGGAATGCCAATGTGTAACTACATGTAAGGTTTTTAACTTAGTGTGGTCTAATCCCAAGGAGCTGGATAAAAATAAATTTCAGTGTGCTTCACTCTTGCTGAAATGTGTTCAGCGATTCTTCATTGATGGCCTCAAAGAAGACGAGCCTTTGCTAATTCAGCAGGGACTGATCCCAAAGATAAGTGTCATCTTTTCATTTTGTATGGATTTGGGTAACTTAAAGTTTAACTAGAGAGGATTCAGTTGCCTAGTTTGGTATTTTATGTTCCTTTGAAATCAGATTTGAAAAGGAATCGGTACCAGGGCTTGTTGCCTACATCCAATCAAAAATTAAGTTCCACATATGTTTCCTGATGTGTGGGGTGGGCAGGGCGCTTTGGGGAGTGTACAGGAATAAGTCGGACACAGACCTCCCTTCGACAAGCCAGTGCGGTAATAGAATGTTTTTAATTAGTGGATTTAACTTGGAGATATAGGATGGAGAGAGTGGACTGTTACACACTCCCCCATTACTATGTTAATAAACTTTATCAACAAGATTGGACCTGGATAAATTATCAAATACTTCCCCTAGCCACAGCCCACTTCCCAACTTTCTAAAATCCTAGCTGAGTCTGAAAAAAATGCCAAAATACTTTTTGCTTATTCTAAGTCACCCCAGTTACGCAATTCTGACCTGTTCTTAATTAATCAGGAGGTAACATCACGCGTGCCTTACTAATGGCATCTGGAAGCAAAGCGGAGTTTGCAAAGTCTCTTGCTGCATTTCTCTTTTTTTCATGATAAGATTTGCAGCCCTGTGATTGATTATTGGTGAGAACATGAGGGCAGAAGGGTGATCTGGCTGCCATTAAATCTCTGATTTACCCCCTGGACTTTAGTACCTGAAGTTTATCAAGATCAGGTTGGGCAAAGGAAATGTCTCTGTCCTTTTTCACTTTAAAATGCCTCTAATTATGGGGCTGCCCCTCCATGGGGGGGATAGAGTAAACTCCAGGCTTTCCTAACTTCTCTCAGGAACTTTAAAAGTGTTTGAGGCTAGGGTAGCGGGTGGGTGGGAGTATAAATCTCAGGGCTGTATTTATGCAAGCCGTGTATATTTCATTTTGAATTATAATTTCATTTAGCCCCATCTAACTCCCTGATACACTTACTCAGGCAGATATAACAGGAAGCTGAGGAAAAGAGCAAAAACTCCAAAGGAAATGGGGCAGGGATGTCCCAGGGGTACTTTGGAGCCTTAAGCTGATTTGGGGGGATGAATTGGGATCTGCTCCAAACTGAAATTCCTTTTGAGGCTTAAGAATGCCATCCCAAGGTTGAAAGTGTCAGACCACATGTCTCCACTGGAACTTTGAAACCAAATAGGAATTTCCACATCCCACTGGAATTCTAGCTGGTGATGGAAATGCCATAGCCATAATTTAAACACATTCTAAAGCATGTACTATTAATTCCTGTAGGTTTTGGCCAAGGAGAATAGATTGATATTATCAAAGTGGATGGGATACTAGATTTTACACTTCTAAAGCCCACTGTGTGTGCAGGCTCAACATTAAGTGTGCTGGGAAGTTATTCTCCGTAGAATAAGAATTTCCTACAGAAAGGAGCATATTTGGCCCCTGTACTTGAAGATCCAGGAGGATTAACTTGTCCTTTACCATATGCTTAATGAGTAAACAGCTATTGCATCTGTCAGTAACCATCTGGCTTCTGGTAATGACGCAGCTGTGAGGGCAGCTGGTATATGGGTTACCATGTATGATCACGGCACATAAATGGCTTCAGAGTGACCTCCTAGTACAAGTCTTGATCAAGTAATGTGGCATTTTCCCCACTTCTCTGAATCTATACTCAGCCAGTGTACTTTGGTGGGCTAGGAGGGGGACAGGATTTGGGGGCATAAATAGAATAATGACAAAAATGTATTTTAAAGCATAGAATTTTGAGTATGAACATAGGGAGGGAGAAAATGTCACCTTAGCGGTGAGTTTTGCTGTGTAGGGGGACGTTTCTTCCCTCGGGCTATTGGAGAAAGGTTTGCTTCAGGAGGCGGATGATTCAATCAAATGCAAATATTTGTCTGTTTTGAGATAAAAGAAGCATTGTCTAGTGACTTCCAAACCTTGCTGTACCTTAGAATCACCTGGAGAGCTTTTAACGAGATGCACTGCGTGGGTCCCATCACCAGAGATTCTGATTTTCTGGATCCACGACGGGTCCCACGCATCAGGGCATTTCAAAGCTCCCCACGTTTTCCTAACGTGCAGCCAAGATGGAGAGCCGATGGGTTTGTCCATGGTCTTCAGCTGGTACCTTGGGTTCCTGGCTATAAAGTGGACAAAGTTTCCAAGGCCCCACTCCTATAAGAGTTGCTCATCACAAACTCATGTCAGTAACTTCTTGGTCAACTGATGACTTCTAACTAGGATTTTTTCTTTCTTTCTTTTTTTTTTTTTTTTTTTTTTTTTTTAAAGGGAAATACGTTCCAAAGATGGCCTTCGCTTTATTGAATAAGTATGTTCTAGGAAGGTTTATGTAAGTTAATTTTAAATCACACCAGTTCTAGCAATGTAATATGAACTTGGATATATGTTCCTATGGGGAAAAAATCTCCAATTAGCTGGAAGCTTTTGACAAAAGGAAGGTGGCCAGGCCTGAGGCATGTGTACTGTACTCGCATACTTCTGGAGCACTTTCTAAAATCCACACGTCCTTTGATATTTGATGACTTGTTTTCTGCAGCCTCCCAGGTAACAGGAATTTCTCCTGTGTAGACAAGGCTCATTTATCTCTTAACCACTCACTGCCCCCTTTACAAGCCTTTCTAGTGTTGATGATCCTGGCAAAGTCTCCAGTTCTTGCTGGTATCTGACAACTTGTTGCCACTCTGTAGCAGTCTGATTCCATTCTGGAGTGTTCTAGATGGGGGCCTCAAAACCAGGCCTAAGTGAAATGGAAAAGGGTCTTTAAAATTATAGAACTCTGTTGTGAAATGTTATTGAATGAGCAGTAGCTATTCAGTCATAGAGGTTGCATCAGTGTTTCTTCTCTTGTGTACATGGTTTCCTGGTTTGAAAGAACAACAGGATTTCTGACCATGACAGACCTAGCCTCGGACACATATCTGATTAATGTGACAGAAGACTTTTTTGACACAGCCTTGGTAAGGATGAGGTTGGATGCTTTACTGAGCAGATACCATTGGTAATTTGTAGGAATCTTCAAGCTGTTCATAAAACTTGTGTTTTTCTAAGATGTGGGTTTTACTAAAAGGCTCTCATATTTTATTATTAGAAATATTATATGAAATAGTAACAAATGTATATAACCAATGTTATAGAAAAATGAGGTGATTTATTTTCAAATATATTATTCACCTGATGGGAGGTGATAGGCTGATTTTAATAAAGTAATTGAAAGTCAAATAGGATTTCTCTAAATTTTTTTCTACTGTAGTTAAGGTCAACTCCTGCCTGTTAGAGAATTATCAGCATTAACACATTAATGTTATAGATTATAATGCTTTTTAAAAATAATATGAGCTTCACTTTTTTCTTTCTTTTTATTAGATTATTTCCAGAAGTAGTAGTAAAGGTAAGTGTATTATTACTACTAGCTACTAGTGTATTATTAGCTACTAATTGGCTGTTATTAATAGAATATTAATACCTTTCATTAATAGAATATTCCTGTTTAGAGAAAAGAATATTTATCTAAATGATATATAAAAGTGAAGTGGGTTTAACTATTATATTTGCATTAATTGGCCATCTTATGGTATTCAGATTGTGATGCTGAAATGAATTTTGTTGGAAAGTGTGTCTCATTTGCCTGCGGTGTGTCTTTATTTAGCTGCTCCAGCCACCGTTTGGCCATTTAGCTCCAATCAGGGATGGAGAGCCACTTCCGTCCTTCCAAAACAGCAAAAGTTAGCTATTACTGATTTAACTTGGAGCCTATTCTCATGCCTTTCTCTGTCTTTCAAGAGCTCAAAAGGTAGATAATTTGGAGGTTAGGGCGATGATGTTGTTCAGTGTGGCTCATGTTAAAGGTAACCCAACAAACACTTTGAATTATGAAACTGTGGGGCCATCTTAAAATTGTCCATCTTTTTATTTTTCTTTTGAAAAGCTGTTATTAAATTGACACTACATTCTACAGTGGATGGTATCTTGTAAATTGAGGACATTTAGTACTAGAAGCTTAAGTGTGCATGGTGCTTGGTTGATTTTTAAAAAGAGGTCTCCATAATCTAAGTCAGCGGATCCAAATACTTGCAAGTCAGTTTTTTCTGGACTTCATAAGTGATAGCTCCTGTCTCTAAAGTTGGTTGATAAAATACCCAGTGGTAAAAACTACTTTGAATTTTGTAACTTTTAAAAATAAACTTTGATTGATTTACAACAGTGTGTGTTCACTGCATATTTGAAAAAAAATACAGATGAGAGAGATCTGTTGAGCCTATAGCTGTTGCTTGGACCACTTAATAGGTTCATATAGTCCCTGCAATCACTCCATTGTCCCAAATGGAGGAAACACTGCTCTAGGTGACTGTATTAGTCAGCTCATGCTGCCATAACAAAATACTATGGGCTGAGTGGCTTAAACAACAGAAACTTATTTTCTCACAGTTCCTGGCTTGCAGAAAGCCACCTTCTTGCTGTGTCTTCACATGGGTAGAGAGTAAGCTGCTCTCTGGCATCCTGTAAAGGCACTAATCTCATTATGAGGGCCCCACCCTCATGACCTCACCTTACTGTATGTGTTTCATTTTTATGATTCCTTTGTTTTGTGCTTTGCTATATGGATTATATTTTCTTTCACTATTTGCTCCTCTCTAGTGATTTGAATGGCGTATGTCCTAGTTTTATTCTTCTGGTTGCTACTCTTAATTTAATTATCAACATCAACGTGAGAGTGCCAAAATGATAGCACCTGTTTCTTCTTTATGTCTGGCAAGGAATTCAACATGTTTTTATTCCTCCTCCATTTTCTACCCAGATTTAATTTAATCCAGGGTTTTAGTCCTGTATTTTATATATATATATATATATATATATATATATATGTCTTTGTAAATAGTATTTGCTCTTTGCCTTGTATTGCAATCTTATTTACAGTAGTTATTTAGGGCTCACTACCAACTTGTTTATGGCCTGATGTTCTCATTCTTGAGTTCTTTATTCTGCTTTGCCTCCATCTGCTGTAATACATTTTGAAGAGGTTATTAGGGTATGTGGGTGGAACATGGTCAGTGCTTTTTATCATTTAAGAGTGTTCTTGTGGCTTTTATCCAATATAACTCTTGCTTTGCAGAGTCCAGAGTCTCCCCTCAAAACTGTTTCACTGTCTTATATTGAGTGTTGTGAGCACACGTGCACACATGTTGTTTTATGTAGCTCTTCATGAGTTGTTTTGAAATCAGATCTTACTTTAGCTTGGGAAATTTTATTCTTTGATAATTTTATCAGTTAGAGCAGGGCTTCTCAACTTTGGCAATACTGGCATTTGGGTCGGGTTGGATGATACTTTGTTTGCGGGGGCTGTCCTATACATTATAGAATGTTTAGCAGCATCCCTGGCCTTTACCCACTAGACGTCAGTAGCAGTCCCTACTACTCCCCCAGTGGGACAACATCTCCAAATATTGCAAGAGTGCCATAGGAGAGCAAAAATCACCTCTAGCTGAAAACTGCTGAGTTAAAGTGCTTTCAGTATATGTAACAGGATATCTAGTTCAAACAGCCTTAAGTGCTAAAGATGACTTACTTTGCTCAAGGAACTAAAAAGTCAGAGACAGGAAGTTTCAGGAGCAGTTTGGCTGTAGCTAGGCTCTGTTTCCTGCAGTTCTTTCTCTTCTGCCTCCTCCGAGTCTTGTGTTTGAGCTCAAGTTGGTCTCCCTTGGTGGTTGCAAGATGGCGGCCAGCAACCAGAGCCGTGCTTCCTGGTTCACATCTGGGGGAAAAACGTTCACTTTCCTCAAGCGGCAGAAGAAAGCCCTAGCTTGGCTCTGCTTGTGTCCCCCTACCTCCACCCCCTTAATGAACCCATCACTGTGAAAAGATGAATGGGATGCCCCTGCATCGTTTAAGCCAATGAGGATCCAGCCCTGCAGCAAGTTAGTCCCACCCAAGAGCATACTTGTTACATCAGAGAGGAGGTGGGAAAGGATGATTACAGTTACTCTTTCTATTCTCTTCTCTTTCTAAGATTATCTATTATTCATCCATTGCATCTTCTTTTTTTGCTACTTTTTTCTTGGGAGCAGATGCTTTAACTAATTCTGCTCTCATTGCTTCCACTGTGGACTTCAGTTCTGCTCTTCTCACATCTTTGCTTCCTTGAAACCCGTGGGTGGTGGTGATCTACCTCTGCTCTCAGATTCATTTCTCTCTGCCTTCCTCTCTCTCTACTTTGCATAGAACAATTTCCTAGGCTTTTTAACCAACTGGTTGCCTGCCAGGTTTAGCCAATGACAGGAAATTGGAGGTAGGAAGGACATTTCTCCCGCTCCCTTCTGCTGAGGTGCTATCTCTGGGAGTGGCTTATTTGTGGCTACAGCATTTGCTAGGTGACCTTCATTCCCGGGATCTGGTAATACCACTTCCTGCCCGTGGCTTTCCAGGGATGTATAGGGGGTGGTAATGGCTACCTATGTTTTTGTAACTAATTCCCTGTATTAAATTCTCTCAGATTGAAATATCTAGAATGGCTTAGATTTTCATATTACTTATTTCTTTCTCATTTACTTCTGTGTTCATCTTATACTGTTGCCTTCTCCTACAAATCTAATTTTTTATTTCATAGAATTCACATTCTTTTGAGTTTTGAGATGATAAACCAGATGCTTTTGATTTGGCTTCCCAGCTTTTCTATCATCTTTTATTTCCTGAAGTAAGCATTTTTCAAAAAGTCACTTTTTTGCTCCCTCTTAACTTATTATGCTTCTTCCTTTTTCATAGGGCTATATTTGTTAGTTTCTCTTTACTACTTTTTAAGTGAAAAGGTCGAATGACCTCTGATACTTGCTGGTTAACAGAGTGCATAAATGTCTCTAGGGTCCCCTGCTGTCCACCTGGGTCACCTGGGCTCTGTTACAATCTCTCTCTCAAGGTTTAAGCTGGCAGGCAAGTTTTTGGCTCAGCCCCTGGCCACGTTTCTTGTTTCCAGAAATCATTCAGCCGTATCAGTGGGGCTTTTTTGGACTGAAGAGGGATCTTTTTAAAATTTCTACCCCCTGATTTGCATTCCCATAATTTCATGAGTTATATAGGGATTAAAAAGTATGCAGTGTGTGGTTAAAAGAAAAAAAATTCACATATACAAATTGCACCTCTGAACTTATCAAAGTAATGTTAGGACTTTACCATGAGTTTTTGAAGTGTACACTACCGCTGTCATATCTAAACACAATGTGCATAAATGAAATAATAATTTATTGTTTAATAAGCATAAAGCATTACCACATACCTTGTTTTGTTACTACGTTCTGACATAAGCAGCCATTGACGTTTCTATGATTAAGCTATTTAACAAAGACCGACGCTTTACTCGAAAATTCTTGCTTCTGTTAGCATAAGACCGTTATAAAATTTTTATTTCTGTAAAATACACAAATGTTAGAAATGCACAGAAACAGTGGGAAAGTATGTACAGGAGCTGCCCTTGCACATTGTTCATTCTGGACAAAAAAGTAGCTTTGCCTGAGATGCAGTGATCACAGACAGTCACACTTTGCACGTACTGCTGCTGTTTACCTCAGTGGGCATCTATGCCGTGCAAATCGATTGTGGCCTGGGGGTTTCTAGATCTTGAAGCAGGCTGTGATTTGTCCCTTGCTCAGCCTACATCATTTCTGAAATGTTGACTGCCCATGGCTGTTCAGCCTTTGCCTCTTCCTGCTGTGCAGGAGTCCTTTCCTTATTCTTTTTTAGCATCAGTTTGATTCTTTGAAAATTCTGCTTTCAGGGAAAAGTCAGATGTTGGGTTCCTTCATACTTACCTTAGGATTTCTGGTGACAGAAGAGAGTGTAAATCATTTGATCCAGCAGGAGGTGAGTTGCAAATAGTGCTGGTAGCAGTTTCCCTGGACCCCGTGGAGAAGCTTGTGCCCAGGTCTCCGTTTTGTTTCTTCCTTGTGAAAACCTTCCCCAACTCCCAACAGGCACTGAAGACCTTGAACTGCATTTTGCAAGGTGTACCTCGGGAAGAGAGAAAACAACTTGTCTTGTCGGAAGGCTCGTGTCGTCTTATGTACGTGACCTTGGCCCAATTAGGTGGTGATGTAAGGGCAAAATCTTTCCGGGTTGTGGCACCTCAGTCTTTGTTCTCCTTGGGTGTTTGGGGTTGTTGTTTTTCTTCCCCCCATCAAATTTGTGCAGTGAAATGCTTTCTCAGGCTATAGATTATTTTTCATTGTGAATGTGAGCCGGATTAGTGACTCATGGGAGAATGTTAAGAGTACAGACTGTGGTGCCAGACCTCAGGCTTCAAATCCTAGTTTGGCCACTTATGCTGGTTGCTCCTCTAGAGCACAGTCTTAGCTCACTACACCTCAGTCTGCTCATCTGTAAAATGGAATCAACGTTAACGCTGATCAGTAGAGTTATTGCACAGGTCGAGTCAGGCAATCCATTGAATGCCATTAGCACATTACCTGGTAGAGAGCAAATGCTTAAAGGTTACCAGCTATTACCTATACCAATAGGGCATGTATTGCTTTTCAAGGGATGGGTTTTGGGGTTTTTGGTGACCCACTCACGATTATGTAGTTCCTGGGACATAGAAATTTGGAGAGAAGGTTGTAGTGTGTGACCATGGGAAGAACAATACCAGCACCCTGTTTTGAAATCTGAACCTAAACCTGTGACTGTGTGCTGACCACCAACCAGCATTGGTGACATCCCTGTGGCACACCATCATTCGAGGGGCATGCAGCCATGACTAGCAAGAGGCAGGGTGACCCAGTTTATCATAGTGTAGACCTGAAATACGTGATTGGTGAGCATGGAGCTCATCATGTTTGTCCATTTAATTTGTCTTTGCAGGATGCAGTGTTTTCTCTTAATTTTTCCTACAAAATATTCATTGAATAGATTAGTTAATCATTACCCTTAGTGGTGTATTTAGATCTGGAGAGAAGCCTACCTGATGTTTTCTCCTAAGTCTTCAAACTAATGCAGTGGTCCTGCCTTACTGTTTGAGTGTTCTAGTCTAGTTCCTGAGTGTTCTTCACTTCAAGTCAAATGTAAAATCTGCAAACATAAAAGTAAGCAGAACTCTCAGTTGGTGCTGTTCTAAGGCTTCTATTTAATTGTGACAAATCAATCCATTTATTATGAGAAACTGAACTACTACAAGATTTCTTAAATCCATTCTTTAGCGTGAGAGTTATTTCAGATATTAAAAAATCAACATCAACACTTGTTAGCATTTAACTGAAATTCTTAAGTGAATATGCAATATGGGAGTCTGTGTTAGTTACAATAATGTGATAACTTAATCCCATTTCATCTCTAACTTAAATTTATCAGTTTTTAAAATAAGTTCCAAAAGCTTATAGGAAAGACCCACAGCACCTACTGTATCATTTCTTCCAGGTGTCAAACTATGTTTAAAAAAAGAAAAAAAGAGGGTATGCATCCTCACAGGCTGGTGAGGTGACTGTAAAATTCCAGGATCTTAGCATTTGATGAAGCCTCAGAGATCATCAAATTATAATTCACTTTACAGAGGGAGAAATAGAACCTCAGAATGTATAGTAGCTCTAGCTTCTTTGTAAAAAGTATATGTAAGTCATTAATATATAAACTTGACAATTTTTCCAAAAAAACGTATTTGTGACATTGAGGAAATTCTGACAATGACTTTGAAATACTTTCAAAAATATACATCTTGGATTAAAATTTTAATGCCAATATAGTAGAGTTTTACTTATGTTCATCTCAGTAAAATGAAATTTATCTAAATGTTTCAGGAAAGACCTTGCAAGGACAATCTTGACTGTGGGTGGTAAGAAGTATTAAGAATTTTAAATGTTAGAATGTTAAATATTGGACATTGGGGGTTTTATGAGCATCTTGGAACTATGGGGAATAAGTTATGGTCAAATTAAAAATAGAAGTTAGGATCTTTATATTTAATTTATGATGAAAGAGTTAAGCGTGCTAAAACCATAAAGAATAATTAATGAATATTCCTTTACTCACCAATGAGCGTAGTCAAATTTGATCCTTTTTCCACATTTGCTTCAAATCCTTTTTAAAATAAATCAGAGTTACAGATAAAGCCCCTGTGTCCAGATCCCCATCCAAGTCCCCTTGCCATTTGTAGAGGTATTCCTTTGACTTGGATTTGTTTTTCATTTCCAAGAATATTTTTGTACTTTTATTCTGTGTATTCACAAGCAACATACATTATTGTTTTTGCAAATTTAAGTTTGCTTATCCAGCGGCAACCTGCTTTTTACCTTTAAAATTGTTTGAAATCTAAACATGTCGATATGTGTAGTTTTGTTTATCTGCTGTGAAATACAGTTTCTTAGGATTTTATTTTTATAGATGTATTTAAGGCTGGATAAAGCTGCTTTTTAAATAATTGAGGTACAGTTGATATATAATATTATATAAGTTACAGGTGTACAATATAGTGATTCACAATTTTTAAAGGTTATACTCAATTTACAGTTATTATAAAATATTTGCTGTATTCCCCATGTTGTACAATATATCCTTGTAGCTTATTTTATACCTAATACTTTGTGCCTCTTACTCCCCTACTTCTATCTTGCCCCTCCCCCCTTCCCTCTGGTAACCACTAGTTTGTCCTATCTGTGAGTCTTGGACAAAGTTGCTTTTGGTGAATGTTTTAATATATCTAAAATATAAGTTGCAGAAATATCATTTTTAAAAAATTTGTCATATACTGACCTATCATTTGGATTTCCCCCTAATATTTCTTACAGATGAATTTAAATGATTATAATTGCTCCAGGATATGTCTTTCTGCTTATAAGACACAATGCTAGTCTTCTAAGATGGACCTTCTTAGAGCAAATGCTGATCTGTGGAACTCATTTTTTCTTTTGCTTTGTGCCCAGAATTATCCATGTCTGCCGTATTTTTAATCTCTAGATTATGACCAGCAGGTGGCTCTTTGTGAAGCATTGTGTAGACTGACCATGAAAAAATCAAGGGAAAACTTTGTCCATCAGTGGTTTGAAGATGATACCATTGCTGAGGCTTTCAAAGAAATTAAAGATCGAGAATTTGAGACGGTGAGATTCTTGGTCATGAAAATTCCATTTAATCAATATTTATGAAGCATCCTTTCAGCGCCTTCCTGCATGTTGGGCTCAGGGGAGGATTTTTTTCTTAAATGTGATTAGGTCGCCATTCTTAAACTTCCTGTTTCGCACTTATGTGAAATAACTTGAGGGTAATAGAAACAGAATATTTGTGGACCAGTTACCAGCATACAATTAGGACATCTTTACAGGAAACTTAGCCTGGAGCCAGAGCTGTGTGAGTTTGATGGATCCAGTCAGAGACAGTGGTCATGGAGCTGGAAGTGGTTTTCAACAAACCTTGAAGGGTAGGGAGAGTTGGAGAAGAAAAGAATGTGCATTTCGGCCTTGCAGAGAGTAGCTGGCATGATGACAGGAGGCTGAAGCTGGCATGGGTGCTCTGGTAGCAGAGGAGTTTTATGGGGAGCTTGTGTTGTGAGCCCTCCAGCCTTCACAGTTTGGAAGAACAATAGTTTTCGGTGTCTTCCATGCAACCCGGCCTCACTGTGATTGTGTCCTCAAGTAGCACAGACGTAGTTTATGGCTTTGCTATATACTCACCTTTATCCTAAAATAGCTAAAATGTTTTCCCTCTCCTTTAAAAAAGTTCTTAAATGAGGGTGATTCTGTAGGAAAAGCTAAAATTATTAGTAACAGTGCTCATGTTGAACAAAGCCTTTCTGGTCAAAACTGCTGAGCACTTGGGATTTTATTAAATCCGAACCTTCAAATATATTATGAAATATGTTAAATTTGACTTTAAGCCTGTTGCCAGATCTGCAGTAGTTGTTTAGCCAGGATGCAGTTTGATCTAAATGGGGATATCATGAGTTGGGTTTGGGTCCCACCTCCCTGACTGATGTGATGTATACATTTTGGCAAAGTAGTTGACTTTTGTTTTTTTAATTGTTTTTTAAAAAAATTTTAATTGAAATATAGTTCATGTACCATGTTGTATGTTACAGGTGTACAGTATAGTGATTCACAATTTTTAGAGGTTATAGTTCCATTTATAGTTATTATAAAATACTGGTTTTATATTCCCTGTGTTGTGCAATATGTCCTTGGAGCTGATAGTTGTCTCATGAAGCTTGAGTGTTCTTACCTGTAAAATGGGAATAAAACCAACTTCGGAATTGTGGGAATTAAATGAGAAAAACTAAAAGTGCCTGAGATGTTGTAGACACTCCAGTATTAGTTTCCTTTCCCCGCTGTGTGATTCTCTCATCTGCAGGGAAATTAGGGGAACATAAGACAAAAGTAATTATCCTCTTTCTCAAATTACTTTCCCCCTAGAGCCATCAGCTTCTTAGTGGAACTGCTTTTAGATGAAAGTTCACATTAATGTCCATTTAGTGCTGAATCTAGACACGGAGTGTGAGGACTGTTTGACTACAACAGACAGTCCTTGCTAACAAAAGGGATAAAAGTCTGGATCAGTATCTCTTTGGTTTTAGAAAATTGGGGGTAACAGTCTGCCTCCCTGGTCGCTGTTGGTTGGGAGAACTATAAACGTATTCTTTATTCTTAGAACCTTTAGTGGGAGAGAGATTCCAGGAAGGAGCAGGTTAGAGAACTCCTGATAAGGAAAATCTACAGTGGTTAAGTACACCAGGATAAACCCCAAATTGATAAGTTTCATGGGTTTGTGGTTGGCTTGTGCTGGGGAGATGGCAGGGAGATGGATGCCCTGTGGGTTAGTCAAATATTACAATCCAGGTCATCAGTAAGAGGTATTTCTCTTGTTTGTTCCTGCACATAAAACTGTTGGAGACCTAAGCATTCCTCAGCTGCAAGTCTCATGGCTGGGGGTTCAGAACATGAGTCTGGAGGCTCCTCTTTGTGACACAAAGTATTATTTTAGTTATCGTGATTAATAATGAATCTTTGTGAAGTCTTGTGATGTCACTGGATCCTGGAAATGTAGTAGCGAACACTGGCCTCTACATGCTGCAAAGGGTAGTATTTAAATTAAATATCTTGATTTTTTTTTTAACAAAAAAGTTTGCATTATTTACTTTGAAGGATTGTAGACGGTTTCTCAATCACCTAAATGACAGACTTGGTGACCAAAGAAGGTAAGACGTTTCTCTGAGCTTTACTTTATTGACTAATTCTATTCTGAAAATGTCTAATATTAAAAAAAAATCTAGGGGACTTCCCTGGTGGCGCGGTGGTTGGGAGTCTTCCTGCCGATGCAGGGGACGCAGGTTCGTGCGCCGGTCCGGGAAGATCCCACGTGCCGCGGAGCAGCTGGGCCCGTGAGCCATGGCCGCTGAGCCTGCGCGTCCTGAGCCTGTGCTCCTCAGCGGGAGGGGCCACAGCGGTGAGAGGCCCGCGTACTGCAAAAAAAAAAAAAAAAAAAAAAAAAAAAAAAAAAAAAGAAAAGAAAAAAGAAATCTAGGATCTGTTTTAGGAGAGAATGTAGGATACAGAATTTACTGAGCATTACCAAGTTATCCATTGAGTAGAAACCTCAGAAGATTAGACACATTCTGCCTAGTGATTCATTCGTGTGTGTTTAGAAATGATTTCTATCAGTCTTTAACATATTTATTTGTGATTTGGAACAGTTGTAACTTTATATCCTCCAGGGAGATTTTATGAAGAATGATTTCCTATAGATCTGAGGTTACTAGGGAAAGCCGTATTATGGACAGTTAAGTCCTTGATGAGAAAATATTGGCTAAATTCACTCCTTTCATTAGGACTCTTGCCAAGCAGCTGGGTTGAGGTATATATAATACTGGAAAACCTGGCTTGTAGACTGCCAGATGGAGATTTGAATTCTGCCCATGGTAGATCTCCATTTGTAGGTTTGAGAGCCCCTTTCATACTTTGTACCAAGGGACATAATGGCGTACCTAGTTATACGTGCTTGTTTATAGAACATCCGTAGGTCGTGTGTGCGGTCCATCCATATTTTATTTTGTTTTTTAATTGTGAGCTGTTTTGCAGGGTCTATTCATTTCCATGCATTGCTGCTTTTGCTGATGAGTTTGAGGTATGTTTGTCTCTCTTTCAGGGGCTGTGAGGGTGGGGGGTGTATAGTGAAACCCATAGGTAGCTTTACATCAGGCCAAACGGCTCTTGCTACACAGAAGGGCTTTTTTAAAAAGGGAAACTTGCTTCTCCTCTTAGGCCTCAACTCTGAAGCTTTTTATTGCAGAGCCCTCGTGTTACTTCTACATAAAGGAATTTTAGGGTTTATACTGCATTCATGAGGTCAGTTACAGGAACCTTGCCTTTTTTTATCCTATTGATGAGCAGCATTATTCACGCCTGGATTGGAGGGAATAGGGCAAGTCCATTGCTTCTTTCAACCCGGTAGACGCTTCCCACTCTATCCCCAGCAATTAGGGTCACTCTCCTTTCTCTAGATCATTCTGCCTTGTACTTTATAGTGCAAAATTGAACAGTCTCTTTTTCACCCCCTTCTTTGGTTTCTAGAGGCACAAGGTCCTTCCTGTAAAAGTGCCTCAACCTGCAGCATCTCAATTTCCGGGTAATCTTTTCATAGGTCTCTGAACCTGGACTGTGTTGAGGTTTCCTGGATCATGTCTCTAGAATGTTCTAGTTAACCATTTCATTGTTTTGGTTTGAGGGCCCCCTTCTTGGCCTCTGTGAGCTGAGCCGTTAGCTCACGACTACATTATACATTCTTTCTCTCTAGAACTAATTTTGGAAGCCTGATTCCTATATTTCAAGTCTGTTTTTCTTTCTGGTTGTCTGAGGGTTCCAATCTCTGCTTGCTTCTTCTTTCTAGGACTTCTAAATTTCCATCAGCTTCAGTAGGGGTCCTTACACTGGCTTCCCGTGATATAGACTTGTGTTAAAACCTTTGTTCCTATAGACGCCAAGGGGAGAAGGGGGTGGGTGGTGGTGGTGTGATGAATTGGGCGATTGGGATTGACATGTATACACTAATATGTATAAAACAGATGATAACTGATAAGAACCTGCTGTATAAAAAATATAATAAAATTCAAAACAAAACCCTTTGTTCAACTCCATAGCTGTTGTAGAGTAGACACATATGATGGAACAATGGCCAAGAAATGCTATTTACTGGAAAACAAGTGGAAGAATAGTTAAGTCTAGTGTTTGTTCCATTGTTGAGAAATAAAAACTTTGTATATACTTCCTGAGTATGTCTAGAACACATCTGGGAGGAAGCAAAGGCATTGTTAATGGTTCCCATGGAAAGGTACCTACGGGAATTTGAGGGACAGAGAAGGAGATATTTATTCTTTCTATTAGCATCATATTGTTTGAATCTGTCTTTCCTTTTTTTCTTTCTGTCTTTCTTCTTTCTTTCTTTAAGAACATATGTTTATTTTATAATGCAGTCATTTCTTGGTACCCATGGGGGACTGGTTCCAGGACCCCTCGTGGATACCAAAATCTGCGGATATTCAAGTCCCATGTATAAAACGGCTTAGTATTTGCATATAATGTACACACATCCTCCCATGTACTTTAAATCATCTCTAGGTTACATCTGATACCTAACACAATGTAAATGCTATGCAAATAGTTGTCAGTACAATGTAAATGCTATGTAAATAATTGCCAGCATATGGCAAAATCAAGGTTTGCTTTTTAGAACTTTCTGGAATTCTTTTTCCTAAATATTTTCAATCCACATTTGGTTGAATCTTTGGATTTGGAGCCCGTGGATACAGAGGGCTGACTAATCAATTAAAATAAAGATAATTTGAAATCTTCAGGTCTTAGCCTTATTCTAACACATGGTAAGCTAGATGGCAAGTCACCATTTATGTTTGATCACAGTACCTCCTTTGCTAGAAGTTTCTATCCATAGGCAGTGTGGATTGTTACTGCTTTAACATAGAACAATTTTCTCTGTGATTGGCACCAGAAAAAAAAAGTTTGTATGGTTAGAGTTATCTGACACGTTTAAACATCTATTAAATTGCTAGGTATAGTAGGGTTTTTCCAGAAATAGATTGGTTATATAAAATTGAAACCTTCCTCCTATTTTGCAGAAATGAGTAAGGCAATAAACGGTGACCCTATAATCTTAAAAGTAGGGTTGTTCTCAGAAAAGCAGTTCTGTTTTTAATGGAGTTATTTTCATTTGACCCTTTCATATGATATTAATGCTGAAATTATATCTTACAGATGAGAAAACCTGCAGATGAAAAATTAGAGAAATTTTGGATTGATTTCAACCTAGGAACTCAGAGTGTAACTTTTTATATAAACAATCCTGAGGTAATCATGTTCGATTCCTGTTTAGACCTAAGTGCGTAGAGAGTGTTCATATCCAAGTATGTGTTATGTGCTCATGAATTTCACTTATTTTTTCCAAGAGCGCTTTATGGGACTCAGTAAGACTTTTGAAGGAAGCAGTGATTAATTTCAGCATAATAGGTAAGATGTTAATTCTAAACTACCCTGCATTTAGTCCTGAGTATTGTTTCTGTTTACAGTTGCAGTGTATGTTTAGTTAATTCCCGAGCAGACTTTGCTTGCACTTGACGTGGAGGGGAGGTGGTGAGTGCTGTGGACAGAAGGCTGGGCTCAGGGCAAAAGATTAGTGAATCCTCCACTCTGTAACTTCGGGGTTCCATGACTTGCCTGGTTTTCTCGTTGTAAAAATGATTATGGTTCCTCAACAAACTGAAAATAGCATCACCGTATGATCCAGCAGTTTCACTTCTGGATATATATCCAGAAGAATCGAAAGCAGGACTCGAAGAGATTTGCATACGAACGTTCACTGCAGCCTATTCACAAGAGTCAAGAGGTAGAAACAGGGACTTGCCTGGTGGCACAGTGGTTAAGACTCCACACTCCCAATGGAGGGGGCCTGGGTTCCATCTCTGGTCAGGGAACTAGATCCCACATGCATGCCGCAACTAAGAGTTCGCATGCTGCAACCAAGGAGCCTGCGAGCCACAACTAAGGAGCCTGCCTGCTGCAACTAAGACCCGGCGCAACCAAAAAAAAAAAAAGGTAGAAGCACCCCAAGTGTCCATCGATGGATGAATGGATAAAGCAAATGTGATCTGTACCTACAATGGACTATTATTTAGCTTTAAGAAGGAAGGGCATTCTGATACTTGCTATAACATAGATGAACTTAGAGGACATCATGCTAAGTGGAAAAAGCTAATCACAAAAAGACAAATACTGTATGATTCCACTTACATGAGGTATCTAAAGTAGTCAAATTGATAGAGACAGAAAGTAGGATGGTGGTTAGTTACCAGGACTGCAGGGAAGGGGGAATGGGGAGTTGTTTAATGGGTACAGAGTTTCAGATTTGCAAGATGAAAAGGTTCTGGAGATCTCTTGTACAGCAATGTGAATATACTTAGCACTACTGAACTGCACACTTAACATTTACCTTGTTAATCATTTTTATGTTTTGTACCACAATTTTTAATTTTTTTGTAATTTTAAAATTTTATTTAAAATAAATTTATTAATTTTATTTATTTATTTTTGGCTGCGTTGGGTCTTCGTTGCTGTGTGCAGGCTTTTTCTAGTTGTGGCGAGCAGGGGCTGCTCTTCGTTGCGGTGAGCGGGCTTCTCATTGCGGTGGCTTCTCTTGTTGTGGAGCATGGGCTCTAGGCACGCGGGCTTCAGTAGTAATGGCCTGGACCAGGGCTCAAACCCGTGTCCCCTGCATTGGCAGGAGGATTCTTTTTTTTTTTTGCCGTACGCGGGCCTCTCACTGTTGTGGCCTCTCCCGTTGCGGAGCACAGGCTCCGGACGCGCAGGCTCAGCGGCCACGGCTCACGGGCCCGGCCGCTCCGCGGCATGTGGGATCTTCCCGGACCGGGGCACGAACCCGTGTCCCCTGCATCAGCAGGCGGGCTCTCAACCACTGCGCCACCAGGGAAGCCCTGGCAGGAGGATTCTTAACCACTGTGCCACCAGGGAAGTCCTGTGCCACCATTTTTAAAAATGGTTATAGTACCTGCCCTCCCTTTCCCACACACTTATATTAATAATTGGGTATGTACAAACTATGTAAATATCAGCCCTGACTCCCCCTTCTTTTTTTTCAATTAATTAATTTTAATTTTTGGCTGCATTGGGTCTTCGTTGCTGCACGCAGGCTTCTCGTGGTGGCTTCTCGTTGCAGAGCACGGGCTCTAGGCGTGTGGACTTCAGTAGTTGTGGCTCACTGGCTTCAGTAGTTGTGGCTCATGGGCTCTAGAGCGCAGGCTCAGTAGTTTTGGCGCATGGGCTTAGTTGCTCCATGGCATGTGGGATCTTCCCGGACAAGGGATTGAATCCGTGTCGCCTGCACTGGCAGGCGGATTCTTAACCACTGCGCCACCAGGGAAGCCCTGACTCCCTCTTCTTAAATCTCCGTCATTCACCTTTCTTCTCCTCTTGGTAGGTAGAGTTGAGGGGCATGGAGTCAGGAGTGATCCTTTTCTGGGTGGGTAGAAGTAAGGTATTGGTCCAGTTCAGTATTTCACATATAGTCACACTTGACCAGGATTCCTGAATTGGGTCTCTTGAAAAAACGGATGTTTTGAAAGTAACTCAATACACATAATCATTTTATACTTCCTTTCACAAAGGATTTAGGGCAGCTTGCATGTTTATAACGAAATAATAGAAATAGAAAATTGGAACCACAAACAAGAATAAAAATGTCTGTCAAGAAGGTTGATCTGGCCACCATGGAGATTCAAATTTGGTGCTTAGCACTTCCCTGGTGGCGCAGTGGTTAAGAATCCGCCTGCCAGTGCAGGGGACATGGATTGGTGCCCTGGTCCGGGAAGATCCCACATGCCACAGAGCAACTAAGCCCGTGTGCCACAACTACTGAGCCCACCTGCCACAACTACTGAAGCTCACACACCTAGAGCCTGTGCTCCACAATGAGAAGCCCGCCCACTGCAACGAAGAGTAGCCCCCCTCTCCGCAACTAGAGAAAGCCCGTGTGTAGCGATGAAGGCCCATGCAGCCAAGAAGAAAATAAATAAATTTAAATAAAATAAAGTTGTACAATTAAAAAAAAAAAAACAAATTTGGTGCTTAGCTTCCTGAAAGCCAGGGTGAAAAGTATAATGGATAACATGATTCTCATCATACAAATCCTGCAAAGAACAAATCCATCCTTCCTGGCCTTGAACTCTTAACTGAAGTTTCTCCCATGGGACTACTTAGGATAAGGTAATCCTCCTTCAGCCCTGAGCTTTCCTTGCTGGAATTTCTTGTGTACATAAGTTACTTCGGTGTTTTGTTAAAGGGTAATTTTTGATAAAGGTAAAATCATGACCCGCATACAAATATAAAATAAATGTGAGTAAAAGATTTCATTAATTAATGAGCAAATTAATAAGATGTAATAACCAGGAGAATACAAAGAATCACAGATACAAGCAATGCTGAAATTAATTTACAAACAGATGTACAACTAGACTGTTGCATTTCACAGACACAGTTAATTTGAATTTATATGAACAAGAATCACTTGCGTTATTATTTTTAATTTCCCCTGTTACATACTAGAAAAAGGGAAGTTTGGGCTAGATTAGGCAGTAAAGGAAGTGTCAAGAAGAGGAGAGCCTTTCACCGTGAAACTCTGGGAGAATGAAGGGACAGTGAAGACTGCCCACACTTCAGATGCTAATTGCAAGTCTCAGGTTGACCCCTGTACTTCTGACCAACTGGCTACCAATCAGAGGTTCCCACAAGCTCCTCCTCGGGTTTGAAACTTGCTATAATGGTTCACAGAACTCTGGGAAACACGCATTTACATTTACCATTTTATTATAAAGGATATAATAAAGGATACAGATGAACAGCCAGATGAGGAGAATACCCAGGGCAAGATCCAGAAGGATCCCAAGTGCAAGGGCTTTTGTTTCTGAGGAGTTGGGGGGCATCGCCCTCCTGGAATGTTTGTGTTCACCAACCCAGAGGCGCTCTGAACCCCATAGCTTGGGTGTTTTTATGGAAGCTTTATCATGTAGGCATTATGGAATATTAACTCAATTGCTGGCCCTTCTGCCCTCCCTGAAGGTTGGGGAGCTGGAAGTTCCAACCCTCTAACCATACCTTGGTCTTTCTGGCGACCAGTCCCCATCCTTTTGTTTTGTTTTCTAGAAATATCATTGATATGTAAGCAAAACTGTTTTTTTTTTGAATTTTATTTTATTTATTTTTTATACAGTAGGTTCTTATCATTAATCAATTTTATGCACACCAGTGTGTACATGTCAATCCCAATCGCCCAATTCATCCCCCCCCCAGCCCCACCCCCCCGCTGCTTTCCCCCCTTGGTGTCCATATGTTTGTTCTCTGCCTCTGTGTCTCAATTTCTGCCCTACAAACAGTTCATCTGTACCATTTTTCTAGGTTCCACATATATGCATTAATATATGATATTTGTTTATCTTTTTCTGGCTTAATTTCACTCTGTATGACAGTCTCTAGATCCATCCACAACTCTACAGATGACCCAATTTTGTTCTTTTTTATGGCTGAGTATTATTCCCTTGTATATATGTGCCACATCTTCTTTATCCATTAGTCTGTCGATGGGCATTCAGGTTGCTTCCATGACCTGGCTATTGTAAATAGTGCTGCAGTGAACACTGGGGTGCATGTGTCTTTTTGAATTATGGTTTTCTCTGGGTATATTCCCAGTAGTGGGATTGCTGGGTTGTATGGTAATTCTATTTGTAGTTTTTTAAGGAACCTCCATACTGTTTTCCATAGTGGCTGTATCAATTTACATTCCCACCAACAGTGCAAGAGGGTTCCCTTTTCTCCACACTCTCTCCAGCACTTGTTGTTTGTAGATTTTCTGATGATGCCCATTCTAACTGGTGTGAGGTGATACCTCATTGTAGTTTTGATTTGCATCTCTCTAATGATTAGTGATATTGAGCATTCTTTCATGTGTTTGTTGGCAATCTGTATATCTGCTTTGGAGAAATGTCTGTTTAGGTCTTCTGCCCATTTTTGGATTGGGTTGTTTATTTTTTTAACATTGAGTTGCATGAGCTGTTTATATACTTTAGAGATTAATCCTTTGTCCGTTGATTCGTTTGCAAATATTTTCTCCCATTTTGAGGGTTGTCTTTTCATCTTGTTTATGGTTTCCTTTGCTATGCAAAAGCTTTTAAGTTTGATTAGGTCCCATTTGTTTATGTTTGTTTTTATTTCCATTAATCTAGGACGTGGATCAAGAAAGATCTTGCTGTGATTTATGTCAAAGAGTGTTCTTATGTTTTCCTCTAAGAGTTTTATAGTGTCCAGTCTTACATTTAGGTCTCTAATCCATTTTGAGTTTATTTTTATGTATGGTGTTAGGGAATGTTCTAATTTCATTTTTTACATGTAGCTGTCCAGTTTTCCCAGCACCACTTATTGAAGAGACTGTCTTTTCTCCATTG